TGTGCTGCCATCAAGCAGGCCAAGCGGGTTGAAGCCCCTATGGTATGGTGGGCGGTGGTCCAAATATAAGTATGGCAAGGCCTGGCAGATTGACTACATCACACTGCCCCAGACATGCCAAGGCAAGCTCTATGTGCTCACAATGGTAGAAGCCACCACTGGATGGCTGGAGACCTAGCCTTTGCCTCACACTACAGCCCATAACACCATCCTAGGCCTGGAAAAGCAAGTCCTTTGGACTCATGGTACCCCTGAGACGATTGAGTCAGGCAACGGGACACATTTCAAGAATATCAACACTTGGGCTAGGGAACATGGCATTGAGTGGGTGTGCTATATCCCCTACCATGCACCAGCTGCAGGCATAGTGGAGAGGTACAGTGGACTGTTGAAAACCACCTTGAAAGCATTAGGTGGGGGATCTTTCAAAAATTGCATCTAGCAAAGGCCACCTGGTTACTTAACACCTAAGGTTCCACCAACCGAGCAGGCCCTGCCCAACCTGTGCCCCTGCATACAGTAGATGGAGACAAAGTCTTAGTGGTGCATGTCAGAGGTTTGTAAGGGAAGACAGTTTGAATCAATTCTGCCTCAAATACAGACAAACTCATCCGTGGGGTTTTCCTTGCTCAAGGACCAGGTTGCACATGGTGGATAATGCATAAAGATGGAACAACACAATGTGTACCTCAGGGAGATCTGATTGTTGGGTGAGAACCATATGTAAATATCACTGTTTGTCTGTATATAGCCATATACTGGAAATATGTTTATATATATATATGTGTAGCCCCACATTTCTCTTCACAGAGAAATGCAAGGCACAATTCTTCTCAACAATATTTCTGGGTTTCACATTCTCTGAACCTCAGAGAAAGAAAACAATTCTCATCATTTGCTGTGCCTGTGTTTGTGCAAAAGTAGAATGCAATATGGAGATTATAGTCATGGTGTTTTGTTTCCTTGGCCTATCAGGGAAAAGTGTGTGTGTGTCGGGACTGTCGGCTGACAGTCACGGGATTCAGAGCAGTTGTGTGCAGAGTTGAGTGCTTGGCAGGTTCAGTTTTAGATGTATAGAATACTATAGTATAATAAAGTAATTAATTAGCCTTCTGATATCAATGGAGTCAGATGCATCATTCTCTCACCCCTTGTCAGGTTCCCTGGGAATTCGATATATATGTATGTGTAAATGTGTGTGCTTGTAGAGTTAGAATATATATTAGTTTTGGAAGTAAGGTGACAATATGGGGATAAGGTATGGAATATCCTAGAGCAACTTTATGGTTCTTGTATCCCCAGTCATCTGTTCTGTTTATGCTGGATATTAAGATCTGCACCTTTAAGACTGGTTTGGAGAGTGAAAGGGAGGAGAGAAGAAGCATGCATTTTGTTTTCAGAAACTGCACTTGCTCCCCTGCACTCTTCTCCTGGACGGTGTTGTCTGCAGCACAGACAGTGGGAGAGAGCTCTCCTTTGCTTTTTAGTTAGTTTTTTTAGCTAGCTGAGGCAGAGAAGTTCCCTGGACCCTGTCTTTTCTTTTTCTGGGAACTGATCAGCCCTGCTCTGGAATGAAAACCCAGAAAAACACTGGGAGCTCACACCTGTTGCCCACCAGGGCCCGGGACGTGACATTTTCCAGTGTAGGAGGGACTGATGAGAGACTGAGTGAGCCAAACTACACCCCATGAAAAGGACTTTCTGAATTTGCCATCTCTTCAGAACAGCGAGAGGTTTTATTGTTTAATATTATTCATTTTTAATGCTTGTGAATACTTTGCTTGTTAAATAAACCTGTTTTTTCTACTTTTCTCTAAGGAAATCTTTTCCCAAATCAGTTGGGGGAGGGGCCGCTTGAATCTGCTTTCTAGAGGGACCCCTTTGAAGTTTCCTCCCAAATTTGCCCTAAACCAGGACAGTTATCCTGGCAGCATTGGAAGTTACCTGAAGTGTCTGGAAGAGATGAAGTCCCTGTAATTCACAGAAAAACTCATTTCATTTGTAGACCCCCTCTTTTTTGATCAGATAATAGGCTACTTTGGTTGAATTAAATGTGCAGTGGAAGTACACTGGTTCTGTTCTTTAATTACTTACTTGTTTTTATCAGCCAAGGGTGTTTTAAGTGCTTGATCCAGGGAGAAGGTATAAAATGTCTAATTGCTTCAGTGAGGCAGTCCATCCTGCCGGTTCCATAATGTTTCTAGAAACCTGATCTACACTGTGACTTACTGATAAATTCAGCTATGATAGAAAAGATACAGGAACCTACTTGTGGTGGGTTGATCACAGTCAGCACCTAAATATCCATCATCTTCTTTCTCACTGTCCCCACAAAAATATGGGGGAAAGAATCAAAAAAACATAAATGAGAAAAACTCATGGGTTGAGATAAAGGCAGGTTAATAAGTGAAGAAAAAAAAAAGTTATACTAAGGCAGTCAGTTACCACCTCCCACAGGCAGACTAATGCCCAGCCAGTCTTGGAGCAACAGCTACCCTGGAAAAACTTCCCCCCTCCCTCCTTCAGTTGCATTGCAGAGCATGACATTATATGCCATGGAATATCTCTTTTTATCTCAATTGAGGTCAGCTCTCTCAGCTGTGTCCCCTCTCAACCTCCTGTTGACCCCTAGTTTACTCATTAACAGTGGCAGAGTGAGAAAGAGCAAAGGTCTTGACACTATGCAAGCACTGTTCAGCAATAACTAAAACATTCATGTGTTATCAGTATTGGTTTAGTTAAATCCAAACCAGTTACCATATGGGATGCTATGAAGAAAGGTGACTCCATCCCAGCCAGATCCAGTACACTACTTGTTCCAGTGAGTGGGAAGTTCTGCATATTTATGGCATCTCTGAAAAAAAAAAGGCAGAAGATTTTAACATTCTAGAGCACTCTACGAGATCAGTGATTAGATAAATCATTGCACTGGAGGGAAAAATACTTTATTTACAGTTTTAAAGTGCTTGTTTTTCTTTGATGGATTGTTTTTTCCACTCCCTTGAAAAATGCAAGTTACAATCTTTGCTTTGTGTTTTGCCATTCTAATAAAATGGGTATAGGTATGTATTAATTTGTGTAGGTAACACTGAAAGTAGTTAAAGATATGTTGTGATCCAGTTTAAACCCGGTGGAGCAAAGAAACTGAGTCTCTGTGTATAAAATGGAAAGAAATTTGAAAGTTCAAAATATACCCAAAAATGAGATTAAAACCAAACGAGGTTAGATGTGGGTGCCAAAAAATTGATAATTTTTATTTAACAGTAAAAGAGGCAAAGAGAAAGAAAGAGAAGTGTTATAGATGAGCAATGTGATAGTTGGCTCTCACAATTAAGAGATAGATATTATGTGTATGTGAAGAGAAGAGTTGTGGATATATAGGGATGTTATTGTAATATGGCCTCCCATAGTCCTTATTCCCTTCCCCCTTGTAATAGCCTTGGTAGTCAGGGCATTTGGGGAGGGCTGGCTTACTACTAGGACGTGCAACATGATGACACCTGACTTCAAATCAAGATGTGTCTTGGGTTGATAAGGAAGTGTGTTTTTTGGGAAGTTGTGGTCTAAACCTATCAGTGGTCAGATTTGAATATTGGCACCTGGTGTGGCCACTGAAGACATGGATCGCCTCTGAGAACACAGGGGGTTAAAAAGCAGAGAGCTCCCAGGGGAACTTTCTCTTTGTTCTGGTTGGTGAAAGAAGTCAGACCTTCCCCTGCCCAGCCGCGGGCTGGGCGGGGGAGGGGAAGTCATGTGGCCTGGGGTGAGGTAGGCAGGACGGAGGGGTGGAGGAACACTGAGAGGCATCGGGCAGCCCCCCCCCCCCTCCAGTCCCGGGAGAGAGAGACTGTGCCACCTTGAAACTTGATATCGTGTGCCGGCAGCACTGCTGGAGGAGTGAAGGAGAAGGAAGGGGGGGGGAGGGGGGGGGTGCGGCGAGAAGGTGCCCAGCCATGGGAGTTCTGGGCGGGCAGAGCCTGAGATTTTAACCCTTTTCTTGGACAATGAAAACTTTGCAGAACATTAAACCCTCCTAGAAGAGAGACAGACGTGAAATAGAAGGAAATGGGCAAGTGTGGTGAAGGTCTGAGCAAGTGAAAGATGTCAGAAGAAGTTGAGAAGAATCCTAGGTGGGAGGATATGATGGAGTGGCCTTTGGCTGGACTCTTTTCGTGTATAGCCATGGACGGAACCATTTTTTCCTCTAACAACACAGAGACTGCATTTAAGGGGAGGCAATGGCTTGGAGCCAAGAGAGTGCGGTGATGTTATGTGACAGAGTGGCGTGAACAGAGGCAGGTGGGGAGGGTGTGGTGGTGCCCTCTGTCTTCAGTGAAGATCTCTGTTCTCGAGACTCCTCGGCCTCAGGGGGTGAATTTGAGGAGGACAGGTGTCCCAAAAGTGAGAGACTGTTGCTTTTTTGGAACTGGGCAAAGCATCCTTAAAAGGGGAACCCTAGAAGCAGTTCTGGTCGATGTGCAGTGGTGAGAGCACTGGACATGGAAGGAAGAGGTCATGAGAGCAAATTTTCTCCAGGTGGTGCCACGTGTGACATGGAAACACAAGAGGTTTCAACTGTGTTTCCTGAGGAAGTCTATGGTACAAGAGGGACTCTCTCCTTGATGAACTGAGAGTTGATTATCTGAGGAGTGGTAACTGGATTGAGAATCTAAGGTTTTATCTCATTGTGCTGTGGTGGAAATTGGCGGGAGGAGGGAGGAGGAGGAATGTTTTGGAAGGTTTTTATTCTGAGTTCTGTGAGTGTTTCTTTTTACATATTGTAAGTTAATAAGGTTTTTCCTTTATTCCTAAGCTGGAGCCTGCTTTGCTCTATTTCTGATCACATCTCACAGCAGCCACTGGGGAGAATATATTTTCATGGGGGCACTGGCATTGCACCAGCATCAAACCATGACAAGATATAAGAAAGTAATCTCCACCAATGGATGGCAAAGAAGGAGTTGACTGACAAAACTTTGGGAGTGGCTAAGGGTATAAAAGGCAGAGCATCCATTTTGTAGATGAGCACGTGGCTGCTGGTCAGAGAGGCTCCCAGTGCTGTAATTTTTCCTTATTCAGTCCTTTGTTGTATTTTTATTAAGGTTTAATAAACCTTTGAAATTTTAAAAGTGAGCATCGTTTCTCACAAATGGGGACTCGTCCAGGATAAAAACCTTGTCTCTCTGACCCTGGAATATTTCAAGAGGGAGGCACACCCCGCCAAGTTCAGCCGCTTGATTGACTTCTTTTCAGGTCACCAGGGATTAGCAGGTTAACACCCTGAAGACAGCAAAGGACTGAATAACGAAAAAGAAGAGGGGGAAGGTAAGTACCATCCTCATGATTGTTTTGGCCAGATTGATCGTCCATAATCTGGGTGTACAAACATCAGCTTCAGGAAAGTAGTACATGGGACCCATCATGGTCTGTTGGAGCTTCTGGATATTGGACGGTCGGACATATAAGGTGGGATGCATGGAAGAGGAAAGCGGGGACCCTGTGGCTGGCAGGACGCGTGTGATAGAGGGATATTAGATTTAAGGGGACCCAAGAGCACCTGGAAACGCCAGATTAAGGGTCACCAGATTTAGAGGGTGTTGGAGTGATGGCGAGAATCGCTGATTGGTGGGGACTGCATTCATATCAGGGCGAGGAGTTGTGGCAGCTTTCCCAACCCACCAGCACAAAAGAAGCTAGGGAACCACTCCACGTGGTGTGGCTGTGCGCACAGCTCTCAGCACAGTGGGCTTCTGGTGCACACTCGGCATGATAATTTCCAGAGCTTGCCAACCCCAAGCTAAGAGGGGATGCTGCTGCTGGTAGTGGAGACTGAAAGATGCCGAGTGCAGAAGCATCCAGTGCTGGCCTAGTGGTGTGGGATTTCCCAGGCAGGGGGGGCCGTGAACAAAGGGCTGTACGGGGTCTCCTGGGCGAGGGAGGTGGGAGACCCGTGGCCAGCAGGACATGAATGAAAGAGGGGTAGGAAAATACTGTGGGTGGGGTCGTTGACAGCGGGAACCACAAGTGGAGGCAGATTTATGTAAACAGTGTTCAGTAGCGCTAAGTGCAGTAAAGCTCGGACTCACCTGCCTGCGATGATTCAGGGATGCCGAGCAGTAGAGCCCAGCGGGGCTGACCTGGTGGCGGGAAAGCCATTGCTCAGAGGGTGCCGCAGTTATGGTGTTTCCTGAGCGGAGAAATGCCAGCGGGACCTGGTCTGTTTGAGTGGCGGCCAGTGGGGATCCAGCACAGTAACTTTCAGTTTTCGCCGACCCAGTCTGAGGGTCGGGAACTTCTGGTTGTGCGAGGGTCTTATAAACCGCAGGGTTCACTACCTCAGTGGCGGCAGCACGGCTGCTGGGCTTGGGAGCTGACTTAGTTGTACCGGGGTCTTGGAAACCGTGGAAGTTGCTAGTCCGGCGGTGGTGTGAGATGCAGTCTGTGTAAAAAGCTGCTGAAGGTCAGGAACTCCTGGTTGTGCGGGGGCTTGTCTGCGACCCACCAGCATAAAGCCGAGTGGATGCGGCAAGGGGGGGGGGGCACCGGGCCATACCGGCTTCCTTGTGGTATATCGCAGCATAAAGCACCAGGGCTCCACGTGGCCCCACACTAGCAAGCCAAAAGGCACCGGGAAGAGGGGGTGTTGGAACCCAGGGCACGGGGAATATTTCTCTGCCTGTCCTAAGATGTCCTGATCCTCAAGAGAACACTGTTTTTGACCTTCGTCCATGGAGAACGCTTCCAAGACTTTGGGATGAATTGGAATCTACGAGTATGTGAATTAGATAGTAGCATAGTTTATCACAGGGTGAAAAACTTAAAGTTTTGGGTTTTTAGTATGGAGGTGGATAGGAGACAAGATGGAGGATTTTGGGTGTGATCTCCTTCTTGTTCTTCATCTACTCCATTTTCTGCAGTGTTGGGAGCACAGGGTGATTGGTTAGAAAGAACCACAATGCAGATGTTGCGTGGACAGAAAAATAATTAGTTCTTGGTAGAAAGGTAGAAATAAAGTATGTTCTAAGAGTTAATTGGACAAAACAGCTTTAAAATACCTTGAATCTGTATGTCTTGTGACTGTTGGTGCCTTCTCTTTGTTTGCTAAGTCTGGCATGAAGACGGCGTGCAGAACTTCTGATAAGAGAAAAATAAACAATAACCTTAAGACCCAAAAACCAAGAGTCCCGTCCATCTCTCATTCCTGGCACAGAACTTTTTAGGGGTCTCCCCATCAGGGGGACCCACGAAGGAGGGTTTGGGGGGGGGGGGGGCACACGAAAACGCGGCACCTCCCCTGTAACACCTGCCGGCATAAAGCCGTGGGATCAGGGCGCCAAAGCCCGGCGCTGTTGTCCCCAGTGCCTCCAGTTCGGCAGGGACGGGGTGGCGGCTCGGGGGCACAGGGCACGGTTGCAATCGGTACCTCTTAGCGGTGGTTCCTGGCGCCGTAGGCTCGCCTATACAGGGCTGCCCACGGCGACTTGGGGGTGCCAGGAGCAGTGGCACCCAGCAGGGCTGGCCTGGGAGTGCCGGGCTGTGGAGACTTCTCTGCAGTGTCCGCTGGCGTGGAGCCGTGCGAACACGGGGGACCACATGGCAGCTCAGCAGTTGCTTGAGCTAGTATGCCGGGAAGGGGGGGCCCAAAACGCTGAGGCACGGAAGCTTCCTCGCTTTCTCATTAGCATAAAGCCGCATGAGCGTGGGACCACGTGAGTGGCTCGGCGGCTGCTTGCGCTGGCGTGCCGAGGGTGCCGGGGCACCAAGCCAAGGCAGGAGAGGAGTGGCAGAAAGGACCCAGTGGTACAGGGGTCCCCGGACCATAAGCAGGTTGTTTCTTTGCTTTTGTTTTCCAAGAAGGTAAAGCTCGCTCCTTCCTTCCTTCCTTCCTTCCTTCCTTCCTTCCTTCCTTCCTTCCTTCCTTCCTTCCTTCCTTCCTTCCTTCCTTCCTTCCTTCCTTCCTTCCTTCCTTCCTTCCTTCCTTCCTTCCTTCCTTCCTTCCTTCCTTCCTTCCTTCCGTGAAAAACGCCAATCACTTGTTTTTAAAACGTTAAAAGTTTAATAGTAATAAAATGGTTATAAAAATAGTAATAAAATTAGAGTAATAATAATTTGGACAAACTGAATTAGGACAATATGAGACAATAAAGACAAAGAGTTACGGACGTCCAGGTACCTTTTTCTGGGCAGCACGAGCCCGAAAAAGGACACCCGTTAACAGAGGATTAACCCTTAAAAGCAATAGCCTGTTGTATAGTCATACACTTCATACATGATGCATAAATTCTATTCAAACACAGGATTCTGTCTGGTCATCGTCAACTTCTTCCTCCATATCCTAACAGTGCCTTCGAGGCGGGAAGAAGTTCGTTTCTTCTGATAAGAGGGCTGTCGCAGACATCTTTCATGAAAAATCCTTTCTTAGGATTTTTCCTTGTGAGAAGCTGCAGTTTCAGCAACCAAAGTAAACAATGGTTATCTGCTGCTGTGGAATGCAACAGGTAGACCCATGATTGGTCTCCTGTGGGTGTTTGGATTTCTTGACCACTCATGGCAGAGCTGGTTCTTGCTCTGTCTGAGACACAGATCTTTGTTATTCATTCTTTTCTATTCTTAGCTTAGCTAGCTTCTGAAGAAACCTTTTCCTTGCTATTGCTTTTTAGTATAGTCCTAATGTAACATATATCATAAAATAATAAATCAAGCCTTCTGATCATGGAGTCAACATTCTCGTCTCTTCTTCATCCTGAAAACCCTTGTGACCGCAGTCACAGAGGGCCATAAATTCTTCTCGTCTGAAAGATTTAGGTGTCCTTGTGGCTGCTATCTCGCTGCGAGTCCTTTCTTTTAAAAAAAGTATCTTACATAGCATCGTTTCTATTTTAACAATTTTTATAACCTAAAACTATATTTAACATAGTACTTAAGAGAATTAATACTTTCGCATTACTTTCAAACACAACACATATAATATTCATTTTAATATTTGCGAAAAGCCAATCATAAAATACATGCGTTTTTCACAATCCCCACTCTTATTCTTTGTAAATCATTTGGCTTGAGCAATATTTCTTATCTACTTGCATCTTCTGGACTATGCTGGCAAAATAAAACGGGATTACACAAGGAGGAAATATAAAAACAGTTGTAACACATAAAATGAAAGATCTTAATTTCTTCTAATACATTACCCCACCAGCTAGATTTTAACATTGTTTTCTAATTTTTGGACTGGTACTTGGGTTATTGTATGCACATATATATTTTTCTTCTTTGATTTCTTTTGCTTTTGCTAGAATGACTTTTCTATGGTCATCAATCTTCGACAATCTGATATATTAAACTTTCCACAAATACCCCCTTCTTTTGCCAATAAATAGTCTAAAGCCAACCTATTCTGATACACTACAGGTTTTGTTTGGCTTAGCTGACTTGATATTAACTCTAATGCCTGGGCGGCTTTATTTGCTATCATTTCTATAACTGCTTGGAGTCTTGTAATACGACTCAATAGATAATTTGGGGTCAATACAGAGTTAAATTGCTGTGCTGGTTTTACCTTTTCATTTACTAGTTGTTTTTTTACTAAATCTTGAACCATATCTTCAAGATTAAATGTAAAAAAAAATCCATCTCTCTCCTTTTGGACATTCAATTCCAAATCTATTACCACTTTTTCCTAAGTTTCTTGTAATCCATTAATTTTCTTCCTTTTGCCTACAGGTTCTTAATTTGGATGGGTTATAACAGTGGCTGTTGACATAGGTGTGTGTAATAAAAGAGGAACTTTGGTTTCTTTCCATATGGTGCTTTCTGTAGCATTTGTGACACAATCTTGCTGGTATCCCGAAAGGGAAAAGACGAGTGCCAGAAACAGGAATAACAGAGGTCCAGTATGGCTTATACTCCCACCTCCCATGCCTGTGAGGTTGCAACCCACAGCAGGTATATTTGATCTTCTTGGTGGCAAAATACAGAGGCCAATCTGGTCTTGCCCTCTATTTCCTTGTCACTTTCTCTTAACTAATTTCCTGGCAAATTGGTTTTGACACCCTTTAACTGTGGTCTCTTACCGTTCCTCAGGTATCTCTCATTCAACAGACACTAATAATTCCCATCCACAAAACTCAGTTATTACTTTAACACTTTTTGCAATAAGAGCCTACATTTTGTGAACTACAATACTAATTATTCTCACAATTCAAGCATTTACTTATAACCCAGCTAGCATGTCCAGTATTGTAATGAATCAAATAAAGTTTACTGATGGAAATGGTAATTCCCCTTCTCCCCTGTACAATTCTCAGGCTAAGGTGAGAATACAAAAA